CCATATTTTTTAAATATATATATACATATATATATATATCGGTAGATGCTTATATATACATATATATACATATATATACATATATATATATATATATATATACTTGTAGTAACGATGTATCCTTTCCCTCAATTCTGTATATATTCCAACACTACATGCATATATACTTCATATTAGTTTGCGCAGGCTTATATTGATACCCAAACAAATGCTGAACATTTATTATTCATCATATCCTGAAGCCAATGAGACTGTGGGGCACCAGAGCGAAATGACAAGTGCGTTGAATTGGAACGCCAGGAAAAGTCTACTTGACTTGAAGGCTCCAGTAGCAAGTGAGACCAGCTCCACGTGCAGGTATGTATTTTTGCGTGTAGGTAGATCGTGTACATTAATATACATTTGTAGATCATTTGCATTATTCAAGGGATGTATGTGTGTATGTACGTATTTGTGTGTGTAGGTATATCGTGTGCATTATTATGCTTGTTTTTTTACATTATTCATGGGATGTATGTGTGTATGTATATATTGTTGTGTAAAGGTAGATCATGTGGATTGTTTTGTTTGTCTGTAGGTCATGTACATTATTCACGGGATGTATGTGTGGATGTGGATAGATCATGTGTATAGCCCATGGAATAGAACGGGTCATCGCATTTCCGGATGTGTATCTGCGTAAGGATTACGACTCACACGCCGCTTCTGCTCACATACACTAGATGTCTTGAAACGTATTAATATGGTGTCATTATGCCAAATATCTGTACCCCTTCGCAAACGTTATTGCCACACATTTATTATTAACGTATATTACGACATAGCTGTCCACAACACATTGGTGTACATATGTTGTCATTATCGTACGTATACGACAGTCACACATGTCTAATTCTCGTACATATAATTTTATTGTCGCACAAAGACCGCCATTCCAAAAGCATCACCCCCAGCTACATTCTAAAACCCTTAATCCTTAAAACCCTATAACCCTGAAACCTTCAAATCTAACTCTAGAATCCTAAAACCCAAAACCCCTAAGCCCAAACACAATGATGAAACTCCGCCAAGATTTCGTGTTTAGGGGAAGTGAATTGATATCCTTTTAGCATCTATATTTAGCAACCAATCAAAATGGGATTTTTTCTATTTCTAAATATTTGCGTGTCTATATTTAGTAGTACGGACAGTTTCAGGTCCAAACGGTCGTCGAAGGGGAAGCACAAGAGTTCGGTCTCGATACTGAGAACTGAGTCAGGTATATGGGTATGCTTGGTTAGGTATATGTTGGTATCTCAAAGTGTGTGCTGCAGTGTTTTTGCTTTGATACATATATTGTATATCAACGTGTGTGTGTGTGTGTCGACATGTGAGCATATGGCTAGTTATTTTTTTCTGTAAGTATTTGTAGTCGTGTGGATGAAATACGCTTCTTTTATTGTACATTTTGGATAGCCTGTGGTTCTGTGTGTATATGTTCTGTACTCTATTGCGCGTGTGTTGTGTTGTCTAAAACTTGTGCATATATGTATATGTGGCGGTGATCAGACATGCCATTAAGGATGTGAGGATGAGGCGCGATTAGCAGGA